GATGGTTTCAATCATAAAGACCATGGTCTCAAGACTGTGCTCTGCTCTCCTGAATGCTGATAATTGCATCCATGAGCACTTCACATTCATCAGAACAGAGCAAAGTTATAAGATATTGGTATTCATGATGTAGCCCAGCATCCATGAGAACAGAGAAAAGTTGCTCCACTACTAAATTTCAATGGATAGGCCCTGTTCTTTATAATATGTGGTCTTGTGCTCAGATAACAACATACCATTGAAATTGAGTGTCAAAGTCACAAAGTGTACTATACAATGCAAGAGAGAATTGAGTGGTGTCGGATGTACATCAGTTCATCCAGACAACTGGCACCCAACTCCACTCACGTCAATAGATCAAGGCTGTGGGCTTGGGCGCTGCACCCACAGCGTTGGTAAACTCACTGGTCAGTGACCGGACTGAACCTACTCTGCAAGGCTTTGAGGTTATGCATGCTTCTTTCCAGTCGGAGGTGAGCTGACATCCATGCAGTAGCACAGCCATCCATATACTGCACTCCGTTGAATGGATTGCCTACCAGTCCCTGTTACAGAGCCCCCAATTATTGCAGTCCGCAGGGCCTACCCGTAGTTAAATCTTAGGGTCTGTAGGTCTAGGCATCGTAGGTGTGTAGGAACAGTACGTGTAGGATCACGCCAGTCCCCAAAGGTCCAGTTTTTGCAGCAGCCTCACAAGAAAGGTGAGAACCTTCCCAAAAGAGCAACTTGGCGGGGCAGAGGCAAAAGAAGGCCTGTACCGATTGAAGCAGGCAGGCCCAGCCCACGAAAACAATATATTTTGGGATACAGTACCAGACGGCAGGCAATTGTTCATTTCCGAAATTTGTGGAGCGGTTGGACTAGCGACCTGGACGAAGAAGTGCCCAGAAGGGAGAAGACGCCCAGCGTCTTGGCTGAAGGAGACGGTCATAGCCAGGAGGGGGAAGACGCGGACTTGGTGGCCATTACCGCCTGATGTTGAGAGAGACACACCTGATGTTGAGAGAGAGAGAGAGAGAGAGAGAGAGAGAGAGAGAGAGAGAGAGAGAGAGAGAGAGAGAGAGAGAGAGAGAGAGAGATCCAAGGATTAGAGGAGGCAGAAGAAGTTGATCCAAAGCAATCCGCCGGAGTATCAACCCGACATTCACTTCCATAAGCTCATCCGCAATCAACTCCACATCCACACTCCTCCTACGCGTCGCCCCGACGCGTTTCGTTGCTGGCGTAGACAGCAACTCATCAGGAGGCTTCCAAGAATAGATAACCACCAAATCTTTGAAAATGTGTGGAGACTCAAGCCTCTGCTCGCACTTAAATACTCACCTCCTACCTCGTTGTTACGTACTTCGTTACTCAGACCGATCAGAGAAGCATCGCACTTATATTCCTACCTCCTACCTTTCCCGTCCTACAAGCCCCGATCCTTCCTACTTTGCCGCGACACGTGTCCAGACGCAGCCTCTACCTACTATTCAGAAAAAACGCAAAGAAAAAGAAAAACAGAGCATCCATAAGGAAACAGCAGCACTCAACCTTCAAATCACTTAGACACCCGGCTCGGCTGAGCATGTACAATCTCCCATTGCGCTCTCAGCTCGGATCACTTTCCCGATCTCATCAATCGGATTCGATACCCCCAAAAAAATCCCGCCCAGGTGAATTCCTCGGACTTTCTCCGTGTACGGTATTAACGACTAAAAACATCAAGTCCCTTCGTCCCTCTCATGTAGCCAGTCCGTCAGTTTTCCCTAACCACCAATACATTTCCTGTTTTGTGATCGACCGAAAATCCCGCCGTTCTTCTGAGATGGCAGGCGAAGTCCAATGTTTCACTGTCCGCATAGCATGAATATTGGAACTTCGGGTCGGATTTCTATGTCGGGTATAGCCGAAAAACCGGATTCCTATGTCGGGTAACTGGCAACTCCATTTCCATCGTATGACCTTCTTGAAAAATCCATACCCGAAGTCCCACGAACTATCCTCCCACCTGATCAGTGTATATACTAATCCTGTCCCCTTATCCCCGGCTTCGCTTGGTCGACCGGTACGGTTAAAAGTACTGCAGCGACAAAAGACGCACATCTTCCCCAAAAAATCCCCCCAAAAAAGATAAAAAAGACAACAGAAAATTCCAAAGAAATTTCGAAAAGAAATTCCGACGGGAAGAAAGGATAGGCAAAAAATGGTACCGAGGCAAAAGTACACTACCATCGATTATGCATCTAGACAAAAGTTAAGAGCTTTACGATTCCGGGGTACATACTGGAAAGAATATCTTTCCGGGGACCTCCGGAAAGGTTAGCGAATTTCGCTAGCGCAGCGAGAGAGACCTCCGGGGGGTAACCCCGAAGGCGTGCTTCGACCATTACTGCGGAAACCGCTGCCAGGGTCGCTTCTTCTGATGTGGAGATCCGATCGATTCTTACCATACTCGCAAAGAGGGAAGACTTCTTTGCTGACTTTCTAGAAAAGGAGGAATAATCCTGCATCGAGTGGATCTTAATATAGCCGGATTCCGCCAGATGTGCTTGGTTCCTAGTCCTCGGAAAAATATGAATCTGGATCGGTGAGGACTCAATCATCATACAAGCTCCCAAAAAATCGAAAGCGTTGAAGCCTTCGTCCTTCCTTACCAGACTCAGGCTGCTATCGTAGCAGCTCTCAAACAGATCCAGGATGCGTAGAGCGGATAGCTCTAACTCTGCTTGGGAACTGTCCCATCCCACAGAAACAGCCACGTCGTCAATCATCCGCATACCTTTTAGTAGAACCCGGTCTCTCCCCAGTGATTCCATAAAAACGGCCTCGGATTTCGCGCACACTAGGCATGCCAAAGCGGGGCTGGAATTCCTCCCCCTGGGAATTCCAAATTCCTGCTTTAGCATCTCTCCTGCACATTTCAGATACGTGTTACTCAGTTTGAAACTCACCGCCCTCTCGACTGATGCAAAATCAATAAGTACGAACCCTTCGCTTTTCTTCCTGTTTCTCGCCATCATGCACATCTTCCCCCTAAGACTCACCCTCACACCCACCCGATTTCTTCGTGCATGGAAATTAGTCAGCCAACGCACAGCATCCAAAATACTCACATGAGACAATCTGGCAAACATGTCTTTGACGTCGAAACTTCTGGCTATGACTCTGTCAGCAATCCTCTGATCTGCCTGGATCTTCTCAGACTGTTTCCGCAGATCGTCCATTGCTCGCAGATCGAAATGCTTCCCCTCCCCTATCCCAAACAACATGAATCGTATTGCACGGCCTACCCTTGCACCGTCTAATCTAGCCGGATCTCTTGTTGCTGGTGAGATTGGCCTCCATCTGTCCAGGTCCTTTTCTTTAGGAAGGACATAGGCCTGCCCCACTTCCCCACCCTTGCCCCATGCGGCTATCTTCTCAAGCCCACTCTGTAAGTAAGCAGCCTTCATCCCCCTAACAATCTCCCCTTCCTTTTCCCGTACCGGTAGATAGCTTGGGTTAGCGTTGAAAGTTAACTCACAGGCATGCAGGTACAAAACGGGGCATAGAACGAGAGTTGCTCCCGGATTCCTGTCGATCAGTACTGCGACCAAGTTCCTAAGTGCCCCCCACCACCCTCGCACTTCTTTGCTTGTCATGGCTAAGGTCATGCGAGTTGCTCGTGTCCTCGTGCAGCTCCTAAGTTCTCGATCATCAATGTAGACAGGTCTCCCCCGACTCCAAGGTCTGATCGCAACCAAAATGCACTCCCTCAACTCCCCCATTTGCAGGTCGTCACCCCGAGTCACATTCTTGGAATTCTTAACAAATGACGGAGTGCCAGGTATCCCGTCGATCCTCACTTTTACGTGCCCTTGAGATCTGGGTAAGTCCAATTCTCCACACGTACACGCGGTCTTCTGCACGCTTGCCCATATACGTTGATTGTGTATTACTTGTCCAACGGTGCGTCCTCGGCTGAATACCACCTGGACCCTTGCGGCAATGTACCTTCGAAGGGCCGGATCTTCAATCACTTGTTCCATAGCCCGGCTCGTCACGTCCTTCACTCCTCTAGAGTTGACGTTGGTGGAGAACGACAGCTTAACCCGTGGTCTGTTCCGCACCTCAATCGCATGCACTCTCCTAATCACTCTCGTTATCGTGTTCTTCAGCTGACTTCTCATACACTTCCTTCCAAACGTGCTTGCTGTCTTATATAGCGCCAGGAGCTCTGTTGATTTCTTCCGATAGAGTTCCCTTTCCCTCCATGGTTGCGCGAGTAAGTCACGTAGCACATACCGCCTGTGTTCGATCGCTGATGAGGTAATTCTGACTTTGGTGACGAAAAATACTCCTCCGGCTTCCAGCTCCCGCCGGCATCTCTTAATCGGCCTAACTTTCCCCGCGAAGCATATAAGGCTCTCCCCTACTTTCCCTTTAACAACCCTCCATCTCTCAGCCCAAATAGCACTGCCGCTAGACACGATCGATCTCTGTCTAGAACCATCATTTAGTCTTTTCATAAGATCAATGATCAATGAAGTCCCATTGAAGGTAATCATCCTTCCCTACGTCCTATTCACCCTTCTTTGTCCTCTCTCTCTCTTCCCCTTTCTCCTCCTACTCCTCTTCCCATTCTCGCACCGTCCACGTGTGTTCAGGGCCGGCGAGTATCGCTTGATTAGTACCTTCTCGGTTACCAGGGGATCACTCACTTGGACCACAATAGGTAATATGAGGTATTTTCCCACCCGAACACCCTTAACCAGGCATGGAGTTTAGGTGCATTACCCAAACTACCGGCCACGACAAACTTGACGTGCTCCGACCACCTAAGGATAAAACTCCTAGTAGTGCACCCAACGTACGTGTGACGGCACCACGGGCTTACTATCGCATAGACGCCCGCCCCCTTCGTGGTCAGATCCCCCTCATTATCACTAAGCATGCCAACACATTTCTTCGCCCACGGGCATTGATCTCTGATAACTAATAGCACAAACCTCCGCACAATCTCGTCTTCCTCACTCACTTTTAATGTACACGGGTATCGAGACACCCTCCTTCCTCTCTGTCTCATCAGGTGTCTGAGAGCGTCCATGGCTTCTCCTTACCTGCCCGCCAGATGCTCTGAATCGTCTATCTCCCCAAATGCCAGTTTTGGTCTACATCTCACAATCTCGCTAACCGCCTGATCCTTCCTTGTCCACTCGATACCTTCCTCGTTGCAGATCTTCTTAAGTTCCGGAGCTTTCTTGGCTAAGAGCGAACGATGCATTTCAATAACAAAATCTAACATCTCTCCTCCAGAAGTCTCATCGCCAGTACACTTCTTCTTGGACGGTGGAGTATGTACATTGTCCCGTACATCTTCAATAACAATAGGAAAGGCTCTCGTTGTTCTGGGTTTCGCAGCAGATAACGCCTTCCTGCAATCGACCTTCCTCTTCCCTTTCCTTCGTTCTATAGCATCAATAAGACGCCCTGCTTCTTCCCTTACTTCATCACTCTCGTCGTCGGATTCGTCGATATAACTGCATATTTCTTGGAGCATCTGAGCCTTCGTCTTTGGAGACTTCTTCTTAGTCACCTGCACGATGCCAGTGTTTACTGACTTGGTGTGTTGGTTCACGAGTCTCACTAGCCTTGCCTCCAAGCGCGCCTCCCTTGCTTCAGCTTCTCGCAATCTGTCGGCTTCTGTCTTCTCTTCTTCAAGCTTCCTTCTTTGTTCCTCTCGGTCCCTCTCCCGCTTCTCCTCTTCGACCTTTTGCTTCAGCATCTTCTTCCGAAAATACGCCTTCATCTCGTTCGTTTCCTCGTCCATCGCCGGAGCTGACTGCTGCTGCTGAAACTGCTGGGGAGGACGCCCATTTCCGGCTGCCCTGCAGTTACGAGCGTAGTGCCCGTACTTGCCACACAGATGGCATGCCCCCAATCCCATTTGAGCCCCCGTAGGGTTCATAGCTACGGAGTTAACGCCAAACCCTGGTAATTGTTGCGCTACCTGCTGGGGGTTAGCCATACTCAGTCGTGTTTGCGTGCCTGCCTCCTTCTCTGGAATCTCTGATATCTAATCAGGCACCCCATACTGTGTACTCGACCCAGTACCGTTTCTAGGAGGCTAATAGCTTCCTCGGTAGAATCATGATCTCTAAAGTGCAAAGCAATGAAGAACGATGGGGTAAGAGTATACTCAATCAGCTTCCGGAGTTCAATACACTGTCGCTCTAGCTCCAAATCTCCAAAGTTCCTGGTCGACATCCCCACACTACACCATCGCAAAGAAAACCCGCTATCAATACTTCTCTACAATTTTTCAAGTAACCGAAATATGTACGTAAAACGTCCACCCACTACACAAACTCTTATCACATCTTCCTTGGATCAATGCGCAACTACTCAATAAGATGGCAATAATACACCCGTACCTCACAAGGCCTTTCACCCTTAAACCAACCATCCCTTGTTGCGAATGCGCCTCGATGACGATCACGCTTGAGGTAACAGACGCAAAAATACGTAGTCACCGGTCCTCTGTCTAAACACGCCGGTTACCACGCTCAATGAGATCCAAGGATTAGAGGAGGCAGAAGAAGTTGATCCAAAGCAATCCGCCGGAGTATCAACCCGACATTCACTTCCATAAGCTCATCCGCAATCAACTCCACATCCACACTCCTCCTACGCGTCGCCCCGACGCGTTTCGTTGCTGGCGTAGACAGCAACTCATCAGGAGGCTTCCAAGAATAGATAACCACCAAATCTTTGAAAATGTGTGGAGACTCAAGCCTCTGCTCGCACTTAAATACTCACCTCCTACCTCGTTGTTACGTACTTCGTTACTCAGACCGATCAGAGAAGCATCGCACTTATATTCCTACCTCCTACCTTTCCCGTCCTACAAGCCCCGATCCTTCCTACTTTGCCGCGACACGTGTCCAGACGCAGCCTCTACCTACTATTCAGAAAAAACGCAAAGAAAAAGAAAAACAGAGCATCCATAAGGAAACAGCAGCACTCAACCTTCAAATCACTTAGACACCCGGCTCGGCTGAGCATGTACAATCTCCCATTGCGCTCTCAGCTCGGATCACTTTCCCGATCTCATCAATCGGATTCGATACCCCCAAAAAAATCCCGCCCAGGTGAATTCCTCGGACTTTCTCCGTGTACGGTATTAACGACTAAAAACATCAAGTCCCTTCGTCCCTCTCATGTAGCCAGTCCGTCAGTTTTCCCTAACCACCAATACATTTCCTGTTTTGTGATCGACCGAAAATCCCGCCGTTCTTCTGAGATGGCAGGCGAAGTCCAATGTTTCACTGTCCGCATAGCATGAATATTGGAACTTCGGGTCGGATTTCTATGTCGGGTATAGCCGAAAAACCGGATTCCTATGTCGGGTAACTGGCAACTCCATTTCCATCGTATGACCTTCTTGAAAAATCCATACCCGAAGTCCCACGAACTATCCTCCCACCTGATCAGTGTATATACTAATCCTGTCCCCTTATCCCCGGCTTCGCTTGGTCGACCGGTACGGTTAAAAGTACTGCAGCGACAAAAGACGCACATCTTCCCCAAAAAATCCCCCCAAAAAAGATAAAAAAGACAACAGAAAATTCCAAAGAAATTTNGGTTAAAAGTACTGCAGCGACAAAAGACGCACATCTTCCCCAAAAAATCCCCCCAAAAAAGATAAAAAAGACAACAGAAAATTCCAAAGAAATTTTGAAAAGAAATTCCGACGGGAAGAAAGGATAGGCAAAAAATGGTACCGAGGCAAAAGTACGCTACCATCGATTATGCATCTAGACAAAAGTTAAGAACTTTACGATTCCGGGTTACATACCGGAAAGAAAATCTTTCCGGGGACCTCCGGAAAGGTTAGCGAATTTCGCTAACGCAGCGAGAGAGAGAGAGAGAGAGAGAGAGAGAGAGAGAGAGAGAGAGAGAGAGAGAGAGAGAAAGAGAGAGAGAAAGAAAAGCCGCAGATCGGACAGGGGAAAGTCGGGATCTGTGTCGGGGGTTGTTTCAGCAGTTGGTAGTACCGTACCGCCGAATTCCGAACTTTTCCAATAGCATATTGAATTTATTGTATCTGAGTGGAACTTCGAATTTGTACTGTTCATGGTCATATCTCAAGCTCCTGTAAGCTTTATCTGACTCCTCTCAAGTGCATGTTGCTTTGTGGGTGAAATAATGTCAGGATCTTTGCACCCTCCTGACTGCCATAAATCCTCTCTCTCTCTCTCTCTCTCTCTCTCTCTCTCTCTCTCTCTCTCTCTCTCTCTCTCTC